GAAATGGGACCTCTTCCACACTTGCATTCTTTACAGTGGATCCCAGGGCCTTGATAAACCTCTCAGTTTACAGAGTCCTGGAATTACATCGTGAGGAGTACGTGTGCTTATTTCTCACACCCTCACACCACAGGAAAACTGTCATTTCAACTTTTGCTGGAGTTTTCTTTGTCACTTGATCAGTTAAACTCTAATCCGGCTACAGTCCTCACTGGGACCACCTTCATGAAGGATTTGTTACTGCTTTCACAGACAGCATACAGATGACTTGTTAGCTCAGAGCTGCAGAAGTCAACTTTGGGCATTTCACTGTATCCAAAACTTACATTTAGCTGCTGCCCATCCTCCACCTACCCAACTTATCATTGTCCAAGAGGCCTCAGAAGGGCAATGACAAGTTGAGAACACAGAGCCACACTGAGCAGATGCTGGACAGACAGCGAGGGGTCCTGTCCACCAAACAGCTTGGGAGGGCACAATCTAGTCAAATCTATGCATCACCAAAATTACAAATTACAATAGGCTGTGGGTCACTTGAAAATACTTAAAACTGGGTGGCACCAGTGGCTCAGTGAGTAGGGTACCAGTCTCATAAACCAAGGGTGGCGGGTTCAAACCCAGCCCAGGCCAAACTGCAACAAAAAATAGCCAGGCATTGTGGCAGGTGCCTGTAGTCCCAGCTGCTCAGGAGGCTGAGGCAAGAGAATCGCCTAAACCCAAAAGCTGGAAGTTGCTGTGAGCTGTGACGCCACAGCACTCTACTAAGAGCGACAAAATGAGACTATCTCTAAAAAAAAGAAGAAGAAGAAAGAAAAGAAAATAGTTAAAACTGTGGGCCAGGAGAGGTGACTCAAACCTGTAATCCTAGCACTCTGGGAGGCTGAGGGGGGTGGATTGCCTGAGCTCAAGAGTTCGAGACCAGCCTGAGCAAGAGTGAGACCCCATCTCTAAAAAATAGCTTGGTGTTATGGCAGGCACCTGTATTCCCAGCTGCTTGGGAGGCTAAGACAAGAGGATCACTTGAACCAAAGAGTTTGAGGTTGCTTTGAACTATGACGCCACAGCACTCTATCAAGGGGGACAAAGTGAGACTCTGTCTCAAAAAAAAAAAAAAAAGGAAAGAAAGAAAAAGAAAAAGTTAAAACTTGGAATCTCAAATCCTCATATGTCAAACAAGGGTTGGATGGGCACAGACCCTCCATGTCCTTCCCCCTTAGCAATGGAGCCAATCTCTGCCTACCAACACTTCTGTAAGTATAACCTGGTTCATCCCACCAAGGGGTGGGCCAGGGATGTTTGCCTTAGCCCAGGGGGTCAGCAAACTTTTTCTGTAAAGGGTCAAATATTAAATATTTTTGGCTTTGCAGTCTCTGTTGCAATAATTCAATTCTGCAACAGTTGGTACAACTGTGTACCAACAAGTGTTTTTCCAAAAACAAGTGGTGGGTCAGTTTTGGCCCAAAGGCCCACAGCTTGCCAAACTGTACATTAGCCCCAAACAGGGGTCTTCAAACTGGGTTCCACAGAACTTAGGATTGCTTGGAAGTATTTCAAGGGGTCTGCAAACGTTTGGCTCTAATTTATTTTTAACTCTTTCAGAAGCTATAATAAAAATATACCCACTCAAACATATTTCAGTGTTTCAACACAGAGGAAATCAACACATTTGCTAGTGTCAGGTAAACTTCTTTGGTGACCACCTCACATGAGGCTTCTCTTGCCACCTCCCCGCATCTGTATGTGCAGGATGACAAAATGGTTGAGAGCTCGGGTCCTGACATGAGACAGACATGAGTTTGAGTCCCAGCACTGCCACTTACTAGCTGTATGGCTTTGGATAAGTTACTTTAGCTCCCTAAACTAGCCTGGCTGGGACACCACAAAAGAGAATAGACACTGGCTATAAAGAAATAGAAACCATGTATTTCTTTAGATGGTGCAGCCCCCTGCAGGCTGGACTGTGGGAAGATGCCATGTTCACAGTAGAGGGTCCAGCTGAGGCCACAAAAAGACACTCAGGGGATTTGCAACAGCCCTAGTTTCCAACTAGTATGGAGGTATTTCAAGATTTTTATCATCTGTTTGGCTGTACTGATGCACATCAATTGAATATCATATATAATCCCAAATCAATCTTAGATTTGAACTTCTTGATGGTTTCTATTTTTTTCTGGTATATTCTGCTACATCCCACTACTCTGATTGGGCTTTCAGGCAGGGAAAGGGGCTGTTTTGCAATTACCTTTGCAGTCTCAGTCTTCAGTAACCAGGCTTCTATATTTCTAAGTGGCAGTCCCATTGGGTCTAGGACTTTGTTGGCAAGAATTTTCTGGGGCCAGTGTTCTGCAGGACTTGTTAGAGACGTGATGCTTTCAGCTCACAGGGGCCCCTGCCTCAGTGCTGCATTCCCTGGTTGGAACTGGGGCTTTGATGCTCACCTGGCTTTTAAATGTCCTGGTGATACAGTAAACAGTGCTCTTCACCCCTCAACCCCCCCTCACCTCTTGAAACCATCAGAAAGCTTGTCTAGCTGCTGCCTAAGTCTGCCACTCCGGACTTCTAGCCTTTTATTTCAGCTACTGAAAGCTTTTTTCCAAGTCTGAGATGCTCATTTGTAATTTCAATAATAGAATTTGGACCCTAACTGTTTCTCCATTGCTCAGGGCTGTCTATGTCTATTAAAGGTGGCTCCAGTGAAATCAGCGGCTTTTTACTGCCCCTTATCTTTCTGCTTCCAGCATCATATTTTCTTGCTTCCTGAGAGACCTGGAAGAATTGGTGGCATTCATCACTAGGCCCTGAGGGTAAGACTCATGGTCCCAGAATCCCTGGAGTTTATCTTAATTAGGTGACATCTGGTGTGGCCCTCAGTGCATAGGTCCACCCTGATCAAGTGGCCTTGTGCCATCCTATGAGCCTGGGCTGTGCCCAGCCTTGCAGGTTATATCTCAGTGAGCCCTGGAGGCTTCATGGGGGTGATTCTGACCTCAGGGGCAGAGGACCTATCTGTGGTTCAGCCAAGATTGAAGGTGACTCAGACTGAGCACTCTCTCTTATTTCCTTTTCATTTCCTTGAGGTTCCTCTTGGGTCTCACAGTACCTCCAGCTAGGCTTGGACCTCGGCTAGTGGAGGAAGCCAGAAACAGGCTTTCTGCCCCCAAGGCCAGAAGAATGCTGGCTGTGTGGTGCAAATGACCTCATGCAAAAGCATCTTTATCACATGCCCTTCTAGGTACAACAGTGCATGTCACCTGATAAGGCAGTAGCTGTCTGCCCAGACACTCAGCATAGCCCTTCCTCCTTGGAACCAGCCTTTTGGAAGCCTCCAACACTGATAGAAAAATATAGCCCAGCACTTCTCTTCTGGCCCAGACTGTTGCTTATTTCAGGAACCTATCTTCTCACTTTGTTCTCTTTCCTGGATTATTTTTCTGTAGCAACTACATTCCCCCACTTTGCATAGAACTTGTGCCCATTCAGACCCTGAGCTGAGTGGGTCTCAAAGAACCAAGATCAATCTCTGCCCCTTTTCCTGCCCCTACCCCTCCAGGTTTCTGCCCCTCTGATGATACCCGAACCCCTGGCAGTCAGTCCACACATGGATGCCTGCTCACCCCTTCTTGGTCTTCCTGAGCGATCAGCATCGGTGAGAGAGCCAGGGCTGCCCAACAAGGGAGGAGGCTGACTCATTACATGGTGAGAGTTCTCCACTGGAAGAGGTGGTGAAGTGGCAGGAGCTCCAGAAACATGAAGGATTCACTGCTGCATCTGAGGGGAGGTCACCTCATCTTGGAAATCCCTGTACAACATCTAGTGATGAAGAGCTCATTACCTCCAACAGCAGCTCCAACTGGCCTTCCACTCACAACTCCATTGAATTCTGCTGGCGCCCATTGCAGCTCTTCCCTCCCTAACCTGTCACTATCTCAGACACTTCCCACTTCACCCTGGCAGCAACTCAGCCTGGACAATGGCCGGCTGCAGCCACTCTGCTTTCTCCTGCATCTGGGGCCACCACAGCAGACACAGGTTCCCGACTGGCAGAGCTGCTCGCCAGCACAGCAGGAAGCAATAATTGTGGGAGTAAGGGTGAAGATGAGGGGAGTGGCAGACAAGAACAACCCAACTTTGGCTAAAAACAAAAGCAAAAGAAACACTGAGCAGGCAGCCACAAAAGTGCCTCCCCAGGAAGTGCCTGTCGCGCCCCCTGCTGGCTGGAGGAGAGAGTGTGTGCAGATTGGCAAACAGGTTATCTTGTCCAGTGGTTTCCAGATGTATAAAGTTATAGGTAGGGTTGCTGTGGGTGATTGTGCATTTTGCCCATTTGACAAAAGCCTCTGAGCTAAGGACCCAATGAGGGCTAAGATCCAGTCTCTATCCTGTTAACCAAGCTGGGTGCACAGCACTGGTCTGGGTCAGGCCAGAGAAGGGGCTGTCTTTTTGATCATCATTCTTCTAGAAAGAGTATCCTTTTGCAATCTGCAGGAAGGTGACATGCATATCAGCAGAAGCCCTGGCACAGAATGCCTCCTTCTAAGAGGGCAATCTGGCAGAATCCAGCTTCTTTAACTAAAGGGGAGTTTGAAAACCATCCCAAATATGGAGAAAGTGGGGGCAGTGAAGGGGAGGGATTTACTCAAAGTCACACAGCTGATGCCAGGACAGACTTTGAGACCTGATTACTCTCTGTGGGAGCAGTGTTTTCTGAGTTGTAACTGTACCAGTGCAACTGTTACTATGTATGTCCCTTCATGCACCCACCAAGGTTCATGGCTGTCTAGTTTTCATCCCTAGCCCTTTTGAGGCCTCCCTGGTCCTCTCAGTCTCAGACCTGGCCACTCCTCCCTGAAATCCAGCTACTCTGCACAGTCCTATTGTCCTGGTCAGGCTCTTGGCACAGGGTTTAATCCCAAAGAGGGGATGGTGAGAAAGCCAACCCAGTCTGCATAATTTCCTACAAGTGCCTCACTCAGCGGGATGAGGGCAGCCAGGCAGAAGGGTACACAGTGAAGAACTAGAAGGGTCTACTAGATGAGGAGTCGAAGTATGACAGGAAGCCTAGAGCAATGGGGATCAGCAAAGCTGGTAGCTCAGCTACTGTGCAGGCGGAGCCTGCTTCGCGGGTGCAGTCCTCCGGGATGCCTGTGCCACTCCATAAGGCACATGGGCAGCCACAGTTCCCATCTCCTGAGCTCCAGCCACATGGAACATCTGGTCATCAAAGAAGATGTGTGGGCGAATTTTCTCGAGGAGGGGGCCCTTGGGTGCTCCAGCTAGGAACAAGGCCTCATCTGTCTCCAGGCCCCAGCTGCGCAGGGTCTTGAGAGCCCGGGCCCCGGAACTGGCTGCACTGCGTGCTGTCACCAAGTAGGTACGAATTGGGCACTCCAGCCGCAGGCCCTTGGAATAGAACTTCTTCTGCAGCCTACCCAGTGCCTCCAGAAAGCCCTTTAAGGGGCCCTGTCATAAGGCAAAGGAACACTGTGAGCTCTACCCTCCCAACATTGGCTCCCTCTCCCCAGGTCCACTAGGGTCTTATTGTATAGGGTGGGAAAGCTTCTTAGGATCCTGAAATCTTTCAGTTAGTTCTGCTCTGCCTGCTTGGGCCACCATGTGTATCTGTGGGGCTGTAGGTGCCTGTGTCCATTTGGGGGTCTGTACTACTGTCTATTGGGGCTGAGTCAGTAACTGTACCAGGGATACTGTTACTATGTATGTCCCTTCATACACCCATCAAGGTTCATGGGTATCTGTCTTGTACCTCCATAAGTGCGACCACCAGCAGGAGGATATTGAAAATAATTTCATAGCTGTGGCATAGGCACCCTCCAATCAGAATAGACTCCAGCTAAAAACAACTGGGATGGATGGACCAATGAATAACTGCTGAACATCAATGGTGCTCATCAGGCACAAGGTGGCTCAGTGTCGTGCTCAAGCTTTCTAGAGCCAGAAAAAGAATTTATTCTCTGCAGTCCCCAGAACAATGAAGCTTAATGAGGATGCGTGAATAGAAAATGGGATGTTGATGAAGAAAACTGCTTATTTCCAAAGCAATTGGAAGTAAGGAAAAGTGGGCTTCTAGTCTGGGAGACCCCTTACTGGCTACGTGACCTGGAGCAAACCATGGTCTCCTAGGCCTCTGCCTGCCACTTAGTGGGAAGATTATTGTGTCCTCGATTCCCAAGGATTGCAGAGGCAGCTCACAAGAATGGAAGTGAAATGAATATTCATTCAGGAGTCACAACCTAAGCTGGCTGTGCTCTTGGAGAGGGGTTCTGGGATCACTGAGCACTCAGATTTTAAACAAACAGCTTGAGAGGGACATGGCTGGACCCTGGGCTGAGCTGGGGGTCTGGTTCTGGGCTGGGGTGCTGCCTTGTCTTATTCAGGGGTTTGGGGACAATGGTGAGCACCTGGGCCAAAGGTTTGTTCTCGTGGGCCTTCTCATGCTCAAAGAATCTGTCCAGCCCGTGGGCCTTCACAATGCGTTCCGACTCATCCGAGAAGAGCACAGCATCCCCATCAAAGGCCACGCGCAGCTGACTCTGGGATACAGCCACATCCCTGTTGGGGCTGAAGATGGTGGCAGCTGCAATCCCTGGGCAGAGAGAGGCAAGCATTGTCTGTCTCTAGGTGGGGCAATAGGGCCCCCCTGCCTGGGGGAGGAGGAAGGAAACATATCTCAGACTATCTTTTCCCACCTGCCTCACCCAGAGCTCATGGCAAGCCTAATGAAGGCTAAAAACTAGTAGTACACAGGCACTAGCCAAGGAGAATGGACAGTAGCCATAGCTCTGAGGATCCTCACCTTGTCAGGTTAACCCTTTGGTGCTGCTTTGTGGAGAGGTCTGGGAGACTCCCAGGGCGCAGAGGGAAGATGAGAGGACTTAGGGAAGGAAGCATTTACCAACCAGTATGAAGGAATTTCGGTCTTTCCATACTTTAATGCCTAGTAAGGTAATGCTAGTGTGGACCAGGTGGACATAAGTCCTGGCTGAGAGGAAGGGTTCCACAGGCCATCTGTCTGGCCAGGGGCTCCTCACAGGCCCCAACTCTGGCTTAGCCTTGGCCACTTCCTCATGGCTGATTCCAGCAAGTCACTCCACCTCTCTGGACCAACATAGAACTAAGGGCCTCTCAGCTCCACCTGGGGCTAAGACCCCAGGCTGTAATCTGTGGTGGGGTGGATATGGGCACCCTCAGTCTACAGTCACAATGATACCAAGTATGCCTTACTCAGAGCAACCTGGTCATTTAGGGCTCCTGGAGACAACCTGGGTGGCCCTGGGAGGCAGCATGAGTGACAGCAGGCTGTGTGCATAAACTGCAACTCTGGGCTCCTCCAGGGACTCAAAGATGCCTATTTGTGACTCAGACTCTAGGCTAGAGCTGCACTGGACAGCAGAGAGCCATGCTGGGAGGCTGGAGACCCAGGCAGCTGGCTGAGCTGATTGATCATCAACGCTCCATCTCTCCAAAGGCCACTCCAGCTCTGCTCTTTGGGAACCTGGGGTCACAGAGGCTAGGCTTAGAAAAACTTGGGAAGGAGTGAGCAGTGCCAGCCTCATACAACTTCACTAGCCTGAGAGCCCTAGAAGCAGGCCCAGGCAACAGGCCAGGCACCTTCATAGCTCTGCCAGCCCTGGAACCAAGATGACCCAGAGCTATCTCTACCCTGAACAGCCACCAGTGCCTTCCTGACCAACGCTTTGCTCCCTAGCATGAGGTCAAGTTGCAGAAGTACAGAGGCACCCTTACATGTCAGTGCCAAGGCTGTCATGTTGTCTGAGGAAATGCCTTTTCTCTCTGGTTAAAAAAAGCCACTTGGACCTCCCTAGCAGGGCAGCGGGGCTTTGGGAGACAGAGGTCAGGCCTCCAGGCAGGAGGCAGTGTGAGAGAGGAAGAGAAAAGTGGATGTATTGCTGGTTGGTAAAGAATCCTGCCACTGGCGTCCAGCCTAAGGAGCCTTTTCAGGCAGCTGGGTGACTCCTCCTATTGTCTTCCACATGCAATGGAAATGCACCATGTTGGGAGGACTCAGAGTATGGATACAACTCAAAACCGCCCCTCGAAAGAAACACAGGGATTCCCCAAAGGAGGGGATTCTCTTTGTCAGTACTAGCAGCTGAATCTCTTAACCTCCCCTTAGCACTGGCCAATCATTTCCCAGACCCCATGTCTAAGGCTGGACTGGATATGGGTTCCCTACCCCACAGGCCCAGAGTGAGGCCCAGTGTAAATATAAACAGCAGGAAACACAAATACAGAGTCAGTGCAACTGGAGATGGTCAGGGAGCATATGGTGGCTTTAGGAGCTGAATTCTACTTGAAATGAGCTTTGTCTCAGTATGTGTAAGAGGCTTTGGTAGAGTAGGAAAGAGGCTATCCATGGTCACATAGGAATCAGAGCTCCTTCTGACCTGGAGGAATCTTACAGAGTAGCTTTCTGGGCTATAAGGAGGGTTTCCACAGAGGCAGAAATCTGGGCTATACTGAGAAGTAAATGCATCCTTAACACAGTAGGAGTGGAGGGGGAAAGTGGAACGGGGAGGGCCTTGTTTTCAGAGTTTATAGAACAGATTATAAGAATTAAGGAAAGTATGCTACAGCAGCTCCTTCCAGTTACCATGGCAACTTCCAGCACCTGCTCAGAGCCGTAGGACAGGCCTCCCATCCCTGGGATCCCTTTGCTGGACTCTCCCCAATTTTCCTCCTTCATTTTGACTTACCCTCATCAATGGCTTCCTGCACTTTTTCCGCGTCAGCTGACAAGTAGAGGTTGGTGTGATAGGCCTTGAGGTAGCAGATGGGGCTGTTCCCACCTGTCATGCAGAACCTCTCAATGAACAGGTCTAGGGAGGAGGTAGAGAGTAGCAGGTGAGGCCAGGGTTAGGCTGCAGGGCATCGGAGTGGCCCCTTTGTGCCCAGTGGTTGCCACCTTGAGTGATGCAGGGAAAGCAGAGTGATTCTTGGGGTGATTTTAGGCCAGTGTTCCCCCTCCAAGCCTCTCCATCCTTCATCTGTGAAATGGGGATGATCACATCTTTGGAGCAATTACCTGACTCACAGTGGCATCTCTGGTCAAGGAATCACAGCACTATAAAAGGCAGGTCCTCCAGCCATGCCTGTGTGACCCCACCCTCCTGGCCATAGCTGATTGGATAGCGTCAGACACTTGACCCAAGCAAGGCCAATCTGATTTTCTTCCAGCCTGGGCTGACAACCAGCTGGTCTCCCTGGCTGGGGAAGTATTTGCTGGTTGATAAATGGGTGCTGTTCTGAGCACGTGAGGTGACCCATCACTCCCCTGACCCCTTGCCAGGACTCCTGTTCCCACCACAGTCCACACAGAAAGGGGAGTGCCTGGAATGGCAGGACAGTGCTGTAGATGGTGTTTTTCTTGATTGCTCAGCATTTGTGTCACACAGGTGGTTAAATATTGTGAATATCACCCCTGTTCCCAGCAGTTTGAAATCAGTACTAAAAAATGCCTGCTGGACTCGCTTCATTACTTAAAACAAGGCTTGAGTAAACCTACAAATATAGGTTTATTTTCCTGTCTCTCTCGGTCCCCCAAACTGAATTTCTCAGCTTTTCTTGATTATGGTTTTTGTTCAGGAAAAGCAGAGAAATCCAGTTTGGGGAGAGAGACTGAAAAGAAAAAAAAAAAAAAAAAGGAACAAACTTGCTAAAGAAGCACAAATTAGGGCTCACGTGGTCCAGAGAATAGAAGAGCCTAGGAGAGATTTCCAGTTCTTGGATTCAGGCCTTTGGAGGCCCAGTGTTATTCCCTTCCCTGTGGTTCTGAGCGACAGCCCTGCAACCTAATAAGAAATTATTCTCTTCAGCTTGAGCTAGCCTTGGAGGGTCTATTACTCTCAATCACAAGTCTGGACTAAGACATAAAGCCCTTTCACTCTGACAAATGGCTGATTCTCCTAGCAGTCTCATGAAGCCTCTTAGCCCACCACAGTCAGAGAAACGGAGGCATAGAGGCAGTAAATGTCCTCCCTGATCCCACTGGGATTGGGGGCTGTATTATGGGGCCAGAGCTGGCTTGGAGTGGATTGCAAGAGTCCTTGGCTACACATTCAGGAATTTTGTGAGCCAGTTATTTTGTTCAACCATTAGTGGCTTGAAATCAGCGGTGGTAGAAATATCTACATCATGAAAACTGGCAATGCTGCAATTAGGGTTTTGTTTGTTTTAAAAAGCCAGTTTACCAGGACAACGTGGGGCTTGGGGTTCCAGTCCAACCCCCTTGTGCTCATGCTCACCATAGTGGTTGATACTGTTGATGAGGCGGACACCCACTTGAGCATGGTTGTTGGTTACGAGGACGATGTCAAAGACGTCGTCACTATCCGGGTACAGCTCCCGCAGCCGCGTGTTCACAGCCTCCAGAGCCTGGAAGGGAGAGGGCACCCTCCAGCTCAGACTCACAAGGACACATATCGGGAGTCAGTGGCCAGGGATCCAGCGAAGGGGAAAGAGGGGAGGTCAGGGGCCCGGCTGGGGATGAGATCAGTGCAGATGAACCATCTTCTCCTTATGCCATTTTTCTACCATTGTACGAGTTGCTTACTGTGCAGGGACGCCTCCCAAAGGAGTGACTGGGGACGGAAACCCAGCCCATGTCCCATTCATCAAGCTGGTTACCAGTCACGGGGGCTGCATTAATCCAGAGTTTGTGGGTGGCCCCTTCTTCCCCTAAAGGCTCTGTCCCCCAGCCAAGCCAGTCACTAATGGGGTTGCATCTGCCCAGAAAGGGCCCCTTTTCCTTACTCAAACACTAATGGGAATGCTTTTTTCTCACCCCCACTAAGGCACTTAATGGGCCAGTGGTGGGACTGCCTCCTCACCTTCACGAAAGGGAAGGCCGGCCCAGGGCTGAAGGGCTCATTCTCGTGTTGCAGCTGGTAGCGCACATACTCCTCCACACCCTGCTCCGCATAGATCCGCTGCTCCTCATCCATGCGGAACAAGGCTCGGGAGGACACAGCAATGGTGACCGCATTCTGAGGCTTAGGCTGCAGAGGAGTGGTAGGAGGGGCTGTCACTCAGACCTCCCCTGAGGCCGGTGCTCTCGTGTAAGCCCCTCCAGGTACTGGGGACACGGAGAGTCTTCTCCCTAAAGAGGCTTAGCCATAGGCAGACTTAGGTCAGAACCTCATCTATGCAGGACCAGATGGGGATTGAGGGAAGCGCTGGGTCCCTCAGTAGGAGCACAATCTGAGGGAGAGACATGCCCTCAGGGAGTTTGCGATCTTGACGACCATCTGGACACAACAGAAAGATGAAGACCATGTATGTAGCCCAAGTGTGACTGATGCTAGAGATGATCTCCAGATGGTTTCCATTACCAAGTAAGAGCTACATGTTCTTAGGGAGAAATGCTGCCCGTAAACATCATTATATGAAAAAATGTATCTCCAACCCAGATTCGTCTCCTAGGCCCCAGTCTTATATCTGGGATATCTAATTATCCCAGTTGAATAACAGACACTCAAAATCAACATTCCCAAGGCTGAATTCCCACCACTTCGTCCACCCCCAAACCTGACCCCCTCTCATTTCTTCATCTGAATGCTTGGCACCACCGTCCGTGCATCACCCAAGCAGAAGCCTGGAAGTTAGTCTCTACTCTTTTCTCCCATTGTTCAGTCACCACAATGAGTCAACTCTACTAGAGTTCATCTATCTCTTTCTGTTCCAGCCATCAATATCTCTCACGTACTCCAACCTGTCATTCATGTTGCTGTCAGGAGATTTTTCTGATATTCAGATCTGATCACAGCCCACCTCTTCAGTGGTGCCCACTCTTCTCCAAAAAGGTCAGCAGCCTTTAGTGTAGAGTAAGAAGCCTTTCGCAACAGACTCCTACCTCTTTTCTACCTCTCACCTTCCCCTTCCCTATCCTTGCTCAGGCCGACCTTTCTCACATCTGATCACAATGAGCCTTTGCACACGCTATTCGTTGCCTCCGTCCACGGTGCTTTCCCTGACTCTCTGTCTAGCTAACTGCTTTACTCTTTGGGCCTTGAACTAGAAGTCCCTCACCCCAGTCTTAGTTTGATACCTCTCCTAGGGATTTCCTTCTTGGTAACATTTAATTATAATTGCTTATTTAATTATTTCACTTTCTAGGCAGAGTTGTAGGGAGAAAGCAGAACCATGCCTCAGTTCTCAGAGAGCAGGAACCATGAGTACTTGGTTGATTATTGTATCTCTATTGTTTAGTACTATGCCTAGCACAGAGAGGGACTCAGTAAACTCTGAACTAAGTTTCAATACACTTTTTTTTTAAGAGACAGAATCTCACTCTGTTGCCCTCGGTAGAGTGCTGTGGCATCACAGCTCACAGCAACCTCCAGCTCTCGGGCTTAGGTGATTCTCTTGCCTCAGCCTCCAGAGTAGCTAGGACACTTGCCACAATGCCTGGCTATTTTGTTTTTTTGTTGCAGTTTGGCTGGGGTGGGGTCGAACCCACCACC